TGACCACAGGATGGACACTGTGGAGGTCATTCTCTCTGTGTTGGTGGTTGTGATTATTATAGTGTCGTTGTTGTCCAACGTCCTGGTGCTCATCTGCTTCCTGTACAACCCGGAGATCCGCAAGCAGGTGCCCGGTCTCTTCAACCTGAACCTCACATTCTGCAACTTGTTGCTGACCGTGTCCAACATGCCGCTCACTCTGGTGGGACTCGTCAGCAAGGCTCAGCCGGGAGGGGACGGCTTCTGCCAGTTGGTGGGATTCCTGGAGACCTTCCTGTCCACCAACTCCATGCTGAGCATGGCTGCGCTCAGCATCGACAGGTGGATCGCGGTGGTGTTCCCGCTGAGGTATCACTCCAAAATGCGCCACAAGGACGCAGCGTTCGTCCTGGGCTACACGTGGGCGCACTCCATGTCCTTCTCCACCGTGGCCACCTGCCTCTCCTGGGTGGGATACCACCGGCTTTACGCCTCCTGCACCCTGTCCAACCCCAGGGCCAGCAGTCGGACCCAGTTTGTGGTGTTCACCGTCTTTTTCCACTCCTTCACCTTCCTGCTGTCTTTTATAGTGTTGTGTGTCACATACCTCAAAGTGCTTAAAGTGGCCAGGTTTCACTGTAAGAGGATCGATGTTATAACAATGCAAACTCTGGTGCTGCTGGTGGACATACACCCAAGGTGAGCCCCTTCGTTACTGCACCTCCACAATGCATGTGTGTAAACTTGGAGATTGATCATGGAATGCATGTAGAGGTTTCCAACACCAACCAGAAAACAACCTACAATTTTCCAATTATATATATATATATATATATATATATATAGTATATTTAAACGTATATATATTTAAACGTATATTTCAATATTTAAGTTAATTTGCCTTCACCTCTGCCAGTCCCTACAATAGCTCCCTGCCCCCTACTTTGGCATCCACAGCTGTAGATAAACATTAACCCATGTTCATCAATTAACACCAGCGCCCAAGGCTAAAACGTCACTGATCTAGATCTGCAGGCAACACAATCTTTGAAATAGTTGACATTTGAATTGCGGCCTTTGGTCTTCAGAGGGAATGCAAAATCTGTTGAAACTAAAATGTCACACGTTGTGTTCACTTTGCTCTACATTCTTACGCTTTGACTTAAAACCACTGTCTGTGAACCTTATCAGGTGGTCAGTGGTGCAAGTAAGACAAAACCTGATTCCTGAATCTCCAGTTCAGACTGAGGTTGAGAAGTAGATGAAGGTTAGGTTAATGTAACGTATTAACTGACTGTAGTTAACATCAGGCCAGGGTAGGGTGTAGGTCTTTAGTGTGTGTCTCAGTGAGGCAGAATGCCATATATCATCTATAGTCAAAGTTGAAAAGGATTTGGGAATTGTACAGAGGTTAAGGCAAAAGTAAAGCATTACATGATTCTGGTTAGGGTTAAAGGTCATCCTCACAGTGTAAACAATTTAAGTAAATATAGGATTCAGCAGAATGGTGTTCTAGTTAGGAACAGATTTGTCTTATATCTTCATCAGTAAGATATTATGCTGATTTACATTTTTCTATTTGCCACTTATTTAGGATAGTTACGGCTATAGTAAGGAGGGGAGTTTCTGGACACCCATAATGAACCAATGTCTGTTCCCTGATGATGGAATATCACAAAATGTTACATAAGCCAGTGTTTGATCACAGTGCATTCTGATTGATGTCTTAAATCACAGGCGTCCATGTTGGCAGTGTTGGAATTGTAAATTGTCTTGGTCCCTGGTTTGACATTACAGGACTGACTGCAGGATCAAGTAATTATTGTTCCTCAGCTCAGCCTGTGCTGCTGCTGCTTCACAGTGATGACACCGTGAAACAGCGCAGGGCAGATGACCGACCCTTCCCTCTGTGTTTCTGTGACATTTATGAAGCCCTCGTGGTGATCTTTACCCAGCCTTTTCCATCGATCATGAAACAGTTAATCGCTTTGTGTCCAGTGTTCGACAGCGTTGCTTAGAGGAGCAGAAAAGGCGGCGTCAGAGAGCGACCAGGAAGATCAGCACCTTCATTGGCACTTTCATGATCTGCTTCGCTCCATACGTGATCACAAGGTAAGTGCTGTTACCCTCCACGGTGCAACAAGCAGACCCCTTTGTTTTACCAACAATCCCCCGGACCTCCCTCCTCTCCCGTCTGTCGCCCCTCACTCCTGCCTCCCTGCCTCCTCTCCACAGCGGCCAGACTTGGAAGATGAGATTGGCTGACCTTGTGATAAGTAATATGTCTCTTCTGTTCTGCTGTGGCTGCTGCATTAGCACTTTCCAGATCAAGTTTGCTGGGCACATCCCAGTTAGTTAGGCACAAAAGTATATCTGTGCCCCTAAACTGCTGGCAAGGTGACACAGCAATACAGGGGGTTATTAAATATAGCTGAGAGGAAAAAGAAAAGTGTTGGTAATGGAAAACAGACCTGAGAGGAAGAAATTCATTTTTTCTTATTGAAACTTTTTCATATCACATTAATAGAGGCTGTTCATTTTTACTGCAGTACTGCGATAGTTGGCCACAGTACTCGTGTCTTAGTGCTGGGCAAAATACAGTACACAAATAAAGTACTACATAGTGTATTTTGGTACTTAAATATGATTTCTCTCCTAATACAACTAAAATATTTTACATTCTGGTTATTTATCTTCTTGGAACTACCATTTAGGAATCTGTATAATCTCATCTCTCAGGTGCTGTGCTGGTTGAGTATCTATTTCCTGTGTGGTGAACAGCTGACTGCGTTGTTCATGTTTGTTTACCTGTTCCTTTAGTCTTTTTTTCTTTTAACTGTGTGTTTGTTAAGTATAGAAGAGGTTTTTAATGGGCTGAGATTCATACATTTCTGCAGATGTCGGACATCTCTACGTTTACATAACAGACATACTACTGCAGTAATATTTGTGTTAGAACACCTGCTGTCCCTGTTAGCGGGGCTCCAGAGGGTGAGCTCTTTAACTGTAATAATGTCTGGTAAAGTAAGTTTAAATGAATGAACAAGGCAAATAACAAACATCTGTAAATGTCACTTTACTGTTTGCAGTCTGAATACATTATGCTCAGTGCTGCTCCACCGCCTCTGTATGTAGTGACACTAATTAAAAAATCAGGGTTATTATGCGGGTGGTGGAAACCCAGTGGTTCAGCATGGCAGCTGATTTGTGGAGAGTGTGGGCAAACACCACTGATGGCTACTGACCTGTGGGGCCAGTGTTAATGTGCTGACAATGCTGGAGTGTAGACAGAGTAATCACACCTATCAGTGACGTTCAGTTTCACACCTTTTACGATGATACATTCATTTTCATATTCCAGCACGTAAATATCAGAGTGGAACTAATAATCTCATTTAAACAACAGGAAGCTGGAGGAAGTAACTGGTGAGACTGTGAAGTTGGTTATGTTAACAACTAAGGAAACATCTTCCATCATACTTGTGTTAAAAGGCATGATGTCATTATGGCCTAAACATGAGAAATAACAACACGGGTTTCTATAGGCGAAGATGTGATTTGGTCAATGTACACAAGGTCCTCTACAAAATTCTGTTCCTAAGGTACGACGTAACTTCATTTTCACCGTAAGTCAGAACTGTCTCTCAGCTACGCTAACACAGTGGTAACGGACTGACTGACTTATGCCCGGGAGCCATAATGAAAGTTTAAAAGTTAAAAATAAAACCCAACTGAAAAGAAAGAAAACAAATGTAGCACAATCTAGTGTGTGGCGTACAAATGACAAATTTAAACAAAGCCGTCTTCTGCTTACAGCATCGCTTGACAACGTATTCGTGCTCGCCAACTAGTTCACATGTGAGATTTGTTTTAATATTGAAAACAACATAAGTTAAAACTTTCTTAATGAAGTCACGGGAGACAGAGACGTAACCACAAAATGCCTTAGGTCGAGGACGTCACTAACGGAGGACCCCATGGACTTGTGTTACTATTGATGTTGTTGTGTTTGGTCAATGTAGTTTTGTTTCTATAGATGTATGTAATTGTTTTTCCTTTTTATTTTGTTTTTTGGAAATGCATAATTCTTAAAAATATTTGTATGAAAAAAGTTTCCACTGAATGGCCACCAGAGTGGAGCCTGCAGACGGTAGTTAATGGAATGTTCTGGACTTCTGTGTCTACAGAAATAAAAACAGAGCTAATGAGCTGCAAGAGGCTGTGAAACAAAAAACAAAACAAAAACAAAACCACAACTGTATCGTTGAATAACTAACATCATTTCAACACAGAGTTATGACCTCTTTGTCATACTTTTAGCCTTTCGAGTAAGTCGACATAATGTTTTACAATAAAAGCACAGTTGGCTGCAGCTGCTGCCACCATTCCCTTTAATAAATGATTCTCTGCGGAACACGATGAATTTTTCAACATGTTAAGCTGCAGTGGTTTCCTGTTTTTTTGCAGGGCATCATTAGACGATGTTACTGGAGTCACAGGAGCGCATACATTAGAATAGGCTTCGTTACTGGATGAAGACCTCGAACTGAGACACGTTCATATTTAACCTAGAAATGTACATGTTTTCTGGACATTTTTATAGGAGCAGAGATAATATGACAGAGTGGAGCTAGGAGCTGGAGAACATACCCAGCTCTGTAGAAACAAAACTGAAGAAAGTTTAAGGACAAACAGTCTTTTTACTGTCTGAAAAGCTGAGTAAATGAGCCGTCAGTAGAAGTTAGTGGAGTGAGGGGTGGTCACAGGTGGTGGGAGTGGAACGTGAACTTGAACTGAAAAAATGAAAGTACTTACTGCAGTGGATTTTCAGTAGCTGACTATTTTTCAAAATACTTTTGGGGCAACACCTGTTAAGGCAGTGGTTCCCAGAGTGGAGAACGGGACTCCCCCAGGGGGTGCAGAGTTATTGCAGAGGGGGGTGGGGGTGCGCACAGCAAGGCATATTGATATGAAATTCAATATTTTCTTTATTTGGAGCACAGTGGGAACAGGGGGCGCTGCAGGGAACGTTTTGGAAACGCTGTGCATAGAGGCTTTGTTCTTATTCAAGTCAAATGTAATACTTGTTTTAATACTCAAGTAGTACTCAAGTATTTACTAATATGTTATTTAAATATTATGTTACAACCATCCCATTGTATATTCATATCTTTTCAAGTTTCAAGACCTGCAGTGACTCAAGTCAAGATAGACACATTGTAAATAATAGAACTAAAAGGAGTGTAAAATATATAAACTATTATAAACTATATTCAGCCACAATTTAGAGATGAGTCTAAAGATGTTCTGCTAATAACAGGAGAATTATGAAGTTCTAATCCATCTGAAATTAAGGTGCCAAAAATAGTTCTGCACAGGAATCAACTGTATATCAAACAATGTTTCTGTCGTTTGATGCAAAACTCAAACTCCTTGTTGTTCATGTTTTGTAACAGGCAACAATATGTAGCAAATGTCTCCCCCCCCACCCCCCATGCTCTGTTCTAATACCACTCGTCTCTCTTCATGGCCGCCTGCAGGATCGTGGAGTTATTTCCAGCAGTGCCTATCAATTCCCACTGGGGCATCGTCTCCAAGTGCTTAGCTTACAGCAAGGCAGCCTGTGACCCGTTTGTGTACTCCCTGCTGCGACATCAGTACAAGAAGACGTGCACTGACATCATCAACAGGCTGATGAAGCGTAGCTCTTTGAACACGTCCAGGCGCGGGCAGGAGAACCAAGGCATGAGTCTACCAACAGTGGAGTGACACGAAGCGGACTAGTGGCATACGGTTCACGAGGGTTGGCTGGGATTTGGTCAACTGTAGCCAATGTACTGATAGTGAAAAAAAGTCCCTGTGCCCTCATGGTTAAGTGAATATTGTGTCATGTGCCAAAATGAAGAGGAAAAAAATGTCCCGAACAGGAAGTGCTGTACTGACTTTTCAGAGGAGTTTGGGGACATTGAATGCAGACATTTTTATAGACATGCTCACCCCAGAACAACGGCTATTTTACATTTGAAACAAGTACAGCGGCTTTCAGCCGTCTTTCAGTACACACATTGTTTTGGCACGGCTGTAGTACAGTGTATTTAGATTATCTTCAAGAGGAAATCGACCCCAATGGGTCTGTATTTATATCAGTCTGTGCAATGTGTTTGAAAGTGACAAGTATCGTGTATCATGTTGTACGTAACACTGAGAAGTAGCCAAACCAAAATGTATGTGTACATTGTACAGAAGAGCTGCACAGCCTGATAACTCACAGTTTGAGTCATCCCTGGTCTAAAGTTTTTAACACATCACTTTGTATTACAAGAAAAAAAAAACCATAACAAATCTGGTATTTTATGCTTGAAGGATTTACTCACCTGACAAGGAGGAGGTCTGAAGGGAAATGTTTGGCCTTCAAAAGGAGCTGCCACTGTTGTCATGACTGAAGTGTGCCCCTCAGGTTGTTTAGTGAAGTGGAGCATGACCAACTGTACTTGTTATTCACAGAGGGGAGTAATCTGTAGAGACTGCATCACGCCAGCCTCTACATTCAGGCAAAGAGAGCAGCCAAGGAGTGTTAGCCTGCGTTATGTTACTATTTCTCTGTTAGCAGTATGCTCATGTAGTCGAATGCCATCTTGGCGAATATCTGAGGCGTTGGGCCTCATCAATAATTCCGACATTAGCTGAGGCTGCAGGCAGCATTGACTGAACCAGAGTACGTGACCGTCATTCAGGTTCTCTCAGAAAACTCTAAAGTGGAGTTCTGTTTAGGGTTCTAAAAGCTTCGATGTGTATAAAAGTGCAACATGTACTACTTACTTTGTCCACTATGTGTTGCCGTGACAATGAGCCTCCGAGGATAAATGTTACGGTGATATCCGAAGACTCTCGAAACTTTCAAAAACAAATTTAAGATTATATTTTTAAAAAGAAATGTGGTTTCTTCATTAAATGAAAGTATGTTTCAAAAATGCCAAAACAATTGGAACATCTCTTAAAATATCAGTTTGTTTTGGCACCAAGAGATACTTATTACTTAATAAGTAATAACTGCTCATTAGACGTGGATGCTGAGCATTTACTGTTTTCAGAGGCATTCTCTTTAAAAATCAGAAATTGAAAGTTGCAGTGATTTTGAATTGTGGAAAAAAATGCTATGACTTTGAAGGGAAAATAGAACTAATTGTAATTGGAGCCAGTTCTCTTTTTAAATGTGTTTATTTTGGAGCTAATTAGAAAAAAAATACCACAGAAGTGAAGCTTCTCATTAGAATCATTTTCAGCTTTTTTAAATTTTAGTTTTTTATATTGGATGCCATAGCAACTGGTCAGGGTCAAGGACTGCAAAGATTTTTTTGCCATTTTTTACACTACACACTACACACAAGTACAACTATTTTTATTTCTGTACTTGTCAATACTGAACACTGTCATGGATATTTTTTCAACTTTATTGCCAACTACGTCTATGTTTCTCTAATTGTACAGAACATATTTGGCTGACTAATTAGTTTGACCAGGTTATATTACAGTATTATTAATAGGGTTAGTAAGATTGACCTCTGCCCTCGGATCGTGTAGTTTCTACCTCAAGATGTGTGGCTTTTTTGAAAACAGTTCAACTACAGTATTTGACTAAGGTGTTTGAAAAAATTCAGTTCAGACCAATGGATGTTGTGATGTTTTATTGTCAACATTTTCATTTGTTATTGAGTACTGCTTATATTATATTTATTCAAGACAGGTTTCACTGTGTTTTAGTGCAGTTTACTAACTGTGGTGTTACCGTATAGTTACGCTTTGGATTAGAGTTGCTAGGATGGCACGTATGTCAGTTAAGGCCAACGCTAATTCCAAAAAAGTCCAATGGAGAAACTACATTAAACCCGCCGTGCTCTCTTGCTTTAACCAATTTCCTGTAAAAATGTCATTGACACAAAAACAAATATCCCGAGTCTCAACCACTGGCAGATATTGTTTTCCCTGTGAATTGTTTGGCTACGTTAGCAGCTTGTGTTCTTTAAAAATTTCAGCGACTAATCATTGTATATGGTTCCATGGAGTTTAAATCTGCAGTAATGATAGGGTATTTATAAGAAACCAACTGATTATTACGTCCAGTACTTTGCGATTAGTTTCAGTTGTGTTGATGGCAGCTGCTAAAGAACGGCATTACACATTAAATATTTAACTCGATGCACGGCCACTAATTAAAGACATGTCGCCGAAACTTCCTGACGTCTCTTCTGTGTTACGTCCACTTTTCTGTATCAGAAGGACAGGCAGCTCTGTATCAGAGAGCTTCAGACTCGGCCGGTGTGAAACATCATAGAGGAAGGTCCTTAAAGGGCTGAGGACTTACAAAATACTCCATAGTATATTATGACTTTTGAAAGGATAATCATTTGTCCCAGATCTGTTAAGAAAACCTATTGAACCATGTGATGACAAATAGAAACATATTTATAAAAAAGTAGTTATGATAATATAGTGGAGAGTTGTTTGTTTGACATATGATTCTATTTTTATTGTATATTACTCTATGGCACACCAATACATCAGATGCCTTAAAATATGTACCATAATGTGTTGTAGCGTCTCCGCCCGGCGCAGTTGCAGTAGGTAACGTTTTGAGCAGTGTATAAAAAAGTCATTGCCTTATATTTGCTTGGATTTATTGACACCACACGGTGTGTTTGTGTATTCTGATGGTGTTG